ACTGCAGTGGAGGTGAAATAGAGAGAATTAGAGAGAGCATCAAATTAAGCTCTACTATGGGCACACCTTTAGATTTGACATTTGGTTATGACATTTCGAATCTTTGCTACTTTTTTCAGGGGGTGGGGTGAGATTAGCAACAGGAAAAATACAGGCTGTTTGCATTCCCATTTTTACTTCTTCTTCCCCATAATATATATAGGGTGATATCCCAAAACGATGGGAACTTATCTTTCTTCCCACCCTCCCCCTGTCATCCTAGCTACCCCATAAAGCCATCAAATGCTGTAAAGTAATACGAATGATATGATTTTTCTTCTTCTTTTGGTATCAGGCTTTTTATAAATAGTCTGTATTACTTGGATATATGAAAACTCAGCTGTAATAACATTTATATTCATGAAAACCCAGTTGTAATAATAATACAACATCAAGATAGCAAAAGGATCAAAACTGAGAAAGGGATATGCCTCAAGAATATTATTTCGCCAAAGTTATTCACTGCCTCTGTTCCTACAGTACCAGTTTTATTGGGCCAGTACAATGGATCTTCTGTCTTCAAGAAACTTTCCACATCAGGTGGCCTAGTAAGGAACTCCATGGCATCTGCCACAGAATCCCCATGTGTTGCAAAGGATTATGGGGCATGTAGGGGACATAATCGGCACACCTGCCAGACTCACTGCAACTATTCCCTGTGAATTATGACTTTGTCCCAAAATATAACCCCAAATGTGCTGCGGCGACATCTTTCTTGAGTAAGTTTGCTTTGAAGGAGTAAGCAGAATTTGGTTGCTGTAAACTGCCTGTGTGAAGTAATATTGAAAGGTGGTATACAAATTGATGGCTTTAAAAGAGGATTAGGCAAATACATGGAGAACAAGGCTATCAATGGCCACTAGCTATGATGACGTTTTCCAAATTATGCCTCTGAATACCAGTTGCTGGGAATCGCAAATGGGTACGGTGGTGTTGCAGTCATGTCTAGTCTGTGAGCTTCCCACAGGCATTTGGTTAGTCACTGTAAGAACAGGATGCTGAACTAGATAGGCCATTGACCTGATCCAACAGACTCTTCCTATGTTTAATAATAATAATAATAATAATAATAATAATAATAATAATAGTAGTAGTAATATATTTATACCCCACCCATCTGGCTGGGTTTCCCCAGTCACTCTGGGTTGTTGTTGTTTAGTCGTTTAGTCGTGTCCGACTCTTCGTGACCCCATGGACCAGAGCACGCCAGGCACTTCTGTCCTCCACTGCCTCCCGCAGTTTGATCAAACTCATGCTGGAAGCTTCAAGAACACCATCCAACCATCTCATCCTCTGTTGTCCCCTTCTCCTTGTGCCCTCCATCTTTCCCAACATCAGGGTCTCTTCCAGGGAGTCTTCTCTTCTCATGAGGTGGCCAAAGTATTGGAGCCTCAGCTTCACGATCTGTCCTTCCAGTGAGCACTCAGGGCTGATTTCCTTAAGAATGGATACGTTTGATCTTCTTGCAGTCCATGGGACTCTCAAGAGTCTCCTCCAGCACCATAATTCAAAAGCATCAATTCTTCGGCGATCAGCCTTCTTTATGGTCCAGCTCTCACTTCCATACATCACTACTGGGAAAACCATAGCTTTTACTATACGGACCTTTGTTGGCAAGGTGATGTCTCTACTTTTTAAGATACTGTCTAGGTTTGTCATTGCTTTTCTCCCAAGAAGCAGGCGTCTTTTAATTTCATGACTGCTGTCACCATCTGCAGTGATCATGGAGCCCAACAAAGTAAAATCTCTTACTGCCTCCATTTCTTCCCCTTCTATTTGCCAGGAGGTGATGGGACCAGTGGCCATGATCTTCATTTTTTTGATGTTGAGCTTCAGACCATATTTTGCGCTCTCCTCTTTCACCCTCAATAAAAGGTTCTTTGATTCCTCCTCACTTTCTGCCATCAAGGTTGTGTCATCTGCATATCTGAGGTTGTTGATATTTCTTCCGGCAATCTTAATTCCGGCTTCGGATTCATCCAGCCCAGCCTTTTGCATGATGAATTCTGCATATAAGTTAAATAAGCAGGGAGACAATATACAGCCTTGTCGTACTCCTTTCCCAATTTTGAACCAACCAGTTGTTCCATATCCAGTTCTAACTGTAGCTTCTTGTCCCACATAGAGATTTCTCAGGAGACAGATGAGGTGATCAGGCACTCCCATTTCTTTAAGAACTTGCCATAGTTTGCTGTGGTCGACACAGTCAAAGGCTTTTGCATAGTCAATGAAGCAGAAGTAGATGTCTTTCTGGAACTCTCTAGCTTTCTCCATAATCCAGTGCATGTTTGCAATTTGGTCTCTGGTTCCTCTGCCTCTTCTAAATCCAGCTTGCACTTCTGAGAGTTCTCGGTCCACATACTGCTTGAGCCTTCCTTGTAGAATTTTAAGCATAACCTTGCTAGCGTGTGAAATGAGTGCAATTGTGCGGTAGTTGGAGCATTCTTTGGCACTGCCCTTCTTTGGGATTGGGATGTAGACTGATCTTCTCCAATCCTCTGGCCACTGCTGAGTTTTCCAAATTTGCTGGCATATTGAGTGTAGCACCTTAACAGCATCATCTTTTAAAATTTTAAATAGTTCAGCTGGAATACCATCACTTCCACTGGCCTTGTTATTTGCAGTGCTTTCTAAGGCCCATTTGACTTCACTCTCCAGGATGTCTGGCTCAAGGTCAGCAACCACACTACCTGGGGTGTACGAGACATCCATATCTTTCTGGTATAATTCCTCTGTGTATTCTTGCCACCTCTTCTTGATGACTTTTGCTTCTGTTAGGTCCTTACCACTTTTGTCCTTTATTATGGTAATCTTTGTACGAAATGTTCCTTTCATATTTCCAATTTTCTTGAACAGATCTCTGGTTCTTCCCATTCTGTTGTTTTCCTCTATTTCTTTGCATTGCTCGTTTAAGAAGGCCTTCTTGTCTCTCCTTGGTATCCTTTGGAAATCTGCATTCAGTTTCCTGTATCTTTCACTATCTCCCTTGCATTTTGCTTGCCTTCTCTCCCCCGCTATTTGTAAGGCCTCGTTGGACAGCCACTTTGCTTTCTTGCATTTATTTTTCATTGGGATGGTTTTAGTTGCTGCCTCCTATATAATGTTGCGAGCCTCCACCCATAGTTCTTCAGGCACTCTGTCCAGCAAATCTAAATCCTTAAACCTGTTCCTCACTTCCACTGTGTATTCATAAGGGATTTGGTTTAGATTGTATCTTACCGGCCCAGTGGTTTTCCTACTTTCTTCAGTTTAAGCTTGAATTTTGCTATAAGAAGCTGATGATCTGAGCCACAGTCAGCTCCAGGTCTTGTTTTTGCTGACTGTATAGAGCTTCTCCATCTTTGGCTGCAGAGAATATAATCAATCTGATTTCGATGTTGCCCATCTGGTGATGTCCATGTCTAGATGTCCATGTGTGGCTCCCCACAAAAGATTAAAAATACATTAAAACATCAGTCATTAAAAACTTCCCCAAACAGGGCTGCCTTCAGATGTCTTCTAAACATCAGATAGTTGTTTATTTCCTTGACATCTGATGGGAGGGTGTTCCACAGGGCGGGCACCACTACTGAGAAGGCCCTCTGCCTGGTTCCAACCTTACTTCTCGCAGGGAGGGAACCACCAGAAGGCCCTCGGCGCTGGACCTCAGTGTCCGGGATGAACGATGGGGGTGGAGATGCTCCTTCAGGTATACTGGTATACTGTGGTACCTCGGGTTCCAGACGCTTCAGGTTCCAGACTCCGCTAACCCAGAAATAGTACCTCAGGTTAAGAACTTTGCTTCAGGATGAGAACAGAAATCGTGCTCCAGTGGCGCGGCGGCAGCAGGTGGCCCCATTAGCTAAAGTGGTGCTTCAGTTTAAGAACAGTTTCAGGGTAAGAACAGACCTCCAGAACAAATTAAGTTCTTAACCTGAGGTACCACTGTATAATGGTATAGAATATTGTTTCGAATGCAGTTTTCTTATTAATGGAGGGAGAATGGTACAACAATCAACACACAAGAAATTTACAATATTCTACTATTGGAAAGAGGATTAGAGAAATTCATGGAGGCTAAGGCTCTCAGTGGTTGCTAATCATGATGATTGTATACTAACTCCATGATCAAAGGAAGCATGCCTCTGAATACCAGTTTCTAGGAAACGGCAATGAGAAATGGCTGTTGTGTCCTGCTAGTGGGTTTATCAGAGGCATATGGCTGGACTAGATAGGACTCTCATCTGATCCTGCAGGGATTTGCTTATGTTTTTAGATAATGGAAGATATATTTTTTTAAAAATGTTTTTCTTCCTTAACACAAACACAAAACTAGAATTTGTCCTGTCCCTGCACCTTTACATTAAAAACATTCTTCCTGGCTGCATCAACGACTTATACAACATATATAAATAACATTTATTTTTTACTTATTGTTTTCTTAGCAAGACTTTCAGGTATTGTTGGTGTGTTTTGAATGCTGTCCAAAGTAGAACTCTCAACTCTTTCTCATGTACCTTTAAAAGGGGTTTCTCCCCTTATTGGGGGAAAAGAAAAATCCTGAACGTAGATGCTGAACTTCACAAAACTTTTATAACATTTTATTTGAAGTTAAAAATGTAAAATTGCATGTCAGCAGCCTGAAACTTCCTTTATGGCCACCGCTGTGCAGAGACTAGCTCTCCGGTGAAGCTCTCTTCCAATTAAAGAAAGGACGGTTTGACATGAAATGAAACGAAGTGGGACATGTTTTAAAATAGACCGCTATCTGAAATTAGGAAATTAGAACAGGCCATGCCAAATCAGAGCGGTGCTCCATTTAGAGACAGGGCCATCTCTGGCATAATCTTTTTTTTATTTCAGCAGAGCACGGTGCTGTTGCAACACGGGTGGGAACAAAACCATCAGTTTATGTTATTATTCAGGGGTCTGGAGGTTTTTGTTTTTTTTTAAGATGTCAATTTTATTCCCCTTTCAAAGTCAGCATGCATTGTGGGAACAAAATCTCATAGAGGGGGAGGGAAACACCAATGGGTTGGATACAGACTTAGCTGAACTTGAGTTAAACCACGACAGACGTGTCCCATTGATTTCTGTAGGGAAGAAGTTCAACAAACATTTTGTATTATTATTATTATTATTATTATTATTATTATTATTTTCACTTTTTGAGTTGCTTGCTAATCAGGAAGCCTCCAAGTGCCTTAGAAAATTTTAACAGCAAAAAGCATAACATAAACTTGGAGGCAGGGGTTGCAATGACAGCCATAAAACTAACTAGAGTTGACTGCCAATTTTGGCTTCTCTGTTTCTCGTTTTTCCAGTACCAGGTTCAGTTCTCCACATTCCCGTATGAGTTTGCTATTATTATTATTATTCAAAATATAAACAATAAAACACTGTAAAATAAAATTTTATTTTTCAAAATTAAAGAAAGCCTACAGAATTAAAGAAACAATAAGACAGAAAATGAAATATAATTTTGTATACTTCCATTTTATTTACCGTATTTTTCGCACCATAGGACGCACCGAACAATAGGACGCACTTTGTTTTAGAGGGGGGAGAACAAGAAAAAAAAATTCTCCCCCTCTCTGCCCAGTGCCCCTTCAGCGAAGCGGCAGGAGGCGCTGCACAGAGAGGGGGAGAACTTTCCCCCTCTTGTTTTCCCGCTCTAAAACAAGGTGCCGTTCAGGCGGCTACCTTGGAAGCCTGGAGAGTGAGAGGGGTCGGTGTGCACTGACCCCTCTCGCTCTCCAGGCTTCAGGTTCCTTTCGACCTGCTCTTTGGGGCTGGCGGGGGGAAGCCCACCACCAGCCCCAAAGAGCAGGTCAGGGAGCAGCGGAAAGGCGCAGCGGAGAGGCTCCTGCCATAGCCACGCATCACCTCTCCAGCCGGTAGAGGGTCGTGGGGGGCTTCTTTAGCCCCACGCGTGCTCTCCCGGCTGGAGAGGAGACGCACGGCTATAGAGGCTCCTGCCATAGCCGCACGTCACCTCTCCAGCCGGGAGAGGGTCGCGGGACTATGGCGCCTTCGCTCCATAGGACACACACACATTTCCCCTTCATTTTTGAAGGGGAAAAAGTGTGTCCTATAGAGCAAAAAATACGGTATATATGAGAAGAGAAGACTCCCTGGAAAAGACCTTGATGTTGGGAAAGATGGAGGGCACAAGGAGAAGGGGACAACAGAGGACGAGATGGTTGGACGGTGTTCTCGAAGCTACCAGCATGAGTTTGACCAAACTGCGGGAGGCAGTGGAAGACAGGAGTGCCTGGCGTGCTCTGGTCCATGGGGTCACAAAGAGTTAGACACGACTAAATGACTAAACAACAACAACAACAATTAATAATTATAATTTGGACTGTAATTTGGTCTTTTTATTTTAGTTTTTTATTTTAATTGGAGTATTATGATTGGATATATTAACTGGATGTTTTTTATTGGAAAATCAGTAAAAATGATTTTTAAAAAAGATAAAAATCTGGCAGTGGGAAATTTCTGTGGTGTCCAGCTTCCCTTGATGCCTTGAGCACATGTTTATTTTGCTTAATGGTTTAATCCGAGCTGGACTGCGTTAGATTGGCAAAGGCCAGAGTGTCGGATGACCAAACCATTCTCTGAGTGGGTGTGAGAGTTATTTTTGCACCATTGTGGAAGCAGAAATGCATTTACTTCTATCAGCTACATTTGTATGCTGCAGCTACCTCGAGAACAGCTGAGGAAATGGTGCCAAGGTTAGCATTACCTGGAGTGCAGACTGGCGGATCATGATTAATTCAATCTGCTCCCCGAACCTGTTGGAATAAATATTTCCCTCTTTGAGCGAGTGGCAACAAGAATTTATTTCCAGATTATATGCAGAGATGGCGAGGAACAATATCAATAAATCATGAGAGGATTCTGTAGTCACATTTCTCTCTCTCCCCCACCCCCCGTCCGGGTAACTACATTTTCAATGCATGATTTCTGTCATTTACAATTCAGAGGACCTGTGATCCTTTGAGCTAACAGCTTGCTACAGCTGGAGTTGGCATGGCTTGGTCTTCTCCTGCAGCTGCCATGCACTGAGGTGTCATTATAGCTGAAACCCCCCCGCACTAAAAAAACCAAACCCATCACAAAATTATTCTTAAAATTTCTGTTCAGGAAATTTTTGATAAGCAAGTATTCTCAAATATCCAGCAAATGTTTACCTAAATCTGGCAAAATGACCTTTCCTTTCTTACCCTCATGCCCACCATGCCTGGGTAGGGGAGGGAGGCACTGAGTCCGCCCCCAAAAGGAGGGGAGACATGATATTGACGTGGTGGCACCACATTTCATCACCCCCCAGGTGTGGGAGGGCATGTGTTGTGTCCCTGGAAAATCAGGGCACTGGGAGGGTATGGTAGCATGGCTGAAATGGCCTTCTGAGCTTAATGGGCAGGCCTGGTGGACTTGATAAGGCCCACAAACCTGGGGCCAGAGGTTTCCCACTGCTGTGCTAGGTAGATCCAATCTAGCAATGCTTTTCTTAAAGTCTTGCATTTTAGACAGCAGTTTTGTTTTGTTTTTAAATCAAGACTCCTTGCACTCTGCTCCATGCCCCCTTATTCTTGCCCAGGGCAGCCCTGGCTGCACCTCAGAGCCGAGAGACATGGGTGGTGCTGTGGTCTAAACCACTGAGCCTCTCTGGGCTTGCTGATCGGAAGGTCGGCAGTTCGAATCCCCGTGACGTGGTGAGCTCCTGTTGCTCTGTCCCAGGCTCCTGTCAACCTAGCAGTTCGAAAGCAGGCCAGTGCAAGTAAATAAATAGGTACCGCTGCAGTGGGAAGGTAAACGGCATTTCCATGTGCTCTGGCTTCCGTCATGGTGTCACGTTGCACCAGAAGCGGTTTGGTCATAATGGCCACATGACCCGGAAAGCTGTCTGTGGACAAACGCCAGCTCCCTCGGCCTGAAAGTGAGATGAGCACCGCAACCCCAGAGTCATTCTGAGAGTCATTGAGAGCCAGTGTGGTGTAGTGGTTAAGAGCGGCGAACTTGTAATCTGGTGAACCGGGTTCAATTCCCCGCTCCTCCACATGCAGCTGCTGGGTGACCTTGGGCCAGTCACACTTCTTTGAAGTCTCTCAGCCCCACTCACCTCACAGAGTGTTTGTTGGGGGGGAGGAAGGGAAAGGAGAACGTTAGCCGCTTTGAGACTCCTTAGGGTAGTGATAAACCAGGATATCAAATCCAAACTCTTCTTCTTTGTTTGCGATTGGACTTAACATGTCAGGGGTCCTTTACCTTTACCTTTTTATTTGTTTATACCCCACTTTTTCCCCTGATGGGACTCAAGGCAGCTTACATATAGAAATTAAAGCTCCCTTGGCCTGAAAGCAAGATGAGCGCCGCAACCCCATGTCACCTTTGACTGGACTTAACCGTCCAGGGATCCTTTACCTTTTACCTTTACCTCAGAGCCGGCACGCCTGGGAGTGCACACGCTTGCAAACTGCGCCATACTGTGGGGGCAGAGTGTGCTGCCAGAATTACTACATCCCTCCCAGGTGCCCTCCAGCTGAGGGAGACATGATGTGTGTGCACTGGACCCATGCTACTTTTTTGGGTAGCGTTGGGCCTGCAGGGTGCCCGAGCTGCCGCTTCCCTCCTGGGCGCCCTCCACCTGGAGGGTGGCTGGGAGGGACACTGTGGCTTGGGTGTGCTGCAGGCCCAGTGCTGCTTGTGGGGCCAGAGACTACTTGTCGCATCCTTCTCAGCCACCAGTGGGTGGCTGGTTGGGGATGTGGCAGCTCAGGCACACTGTGAGCCCAGCCCTGCACTGCCTTTGTGAGCGGAGTGCTGGGCTCTCAGGGCACCTGGGATTGCGAGCCACCTTGGGCTCCATTGTGCTGCCCCCCCCAAGTAAGTGCCGCCCAGGGCGATCCACCCTTTGCGCACCCCCTAGCTATGCCAATGCCTAGTAGGCTTTTTTTTTTTTAAATGATATTTATTCCATATTTAAAGTTACAAAAAAGAGAAAGAAAAACCATACAAAATACAAAGAAAAATTTAACCTTAACAAAGCGAAAAGTAAAAAGATAAAAATAAACAATAAAATAGAATAAAAAAAGAAGACTTAACAAAAAGTATAAAAATGCATTAAGTTAAAATGAAACAAAAACAAATTAAACCTTTACATAGCCTTTTCCCTTTACTTATGTCCATGACCTCCTCTCACCTCCCAGTTTTGTATTCTAGTTCAGATCGTATTTCCAGCAAGTCCTTCTAACCTTATTTTCATTTACATATTTTAGTTTAAAATAATGTAATTAAACCTCCTCTGTTTCGTCAATTTCATCGACTCATTTTACTTAATCCTTTATATCATATCTACCAAAACGACCTAATTTTCATTTTCCAACCTCTTTCTAACAGTCTTTTATATTACAATATTTTTGAAGGTATATTTTGAATTTTTTCCAATCTTCTTCCATCGACCCTTCTCCCTGGTCTCGAATTCTGCCGGTCATCTCAGCCAGTTCCATATAGTCCATCACTTCAATGCCTAGTAGGCTTGATTGGGCCCACAGACCTGGGGCTAGAGGTTTCCCACTGCTGTGCTAGCTAGATCCAATCCAACAGGGACCTCCAAACCAACCTAAATATCTTTGCAGAAGCTTACGAGAAGCTTGGCCTATCACTCAACGTCCAAAAAACCAAAATGCCACACCAACAAGTACAAAATAACCCCTCTGCAGCGCCACAAATCCAACTCAATGGTGTAACGTTGGAAAATGTCGATCACTTCTCCTCCCTAGGCAGTTATCTTTCCACAAGGGCCAACATTGATGCCGAAATCCAGCATCGCCTGAGCTCTGCGAGTGTGGCTTTCCCCTGATTGAAGTGCAGAGTGTCTGAGGACCGGGACATTTGCAGGGAAACCAAAATGCTTGTTTACAAAGCTATTGTACTACCAACCTTACTATATGCTTGTGAAACGTGGACCACTTATAAACGCCATCTCCAACTCCTTGAAAGATTCCATTAACAGTGTCTCCGAAAAATTTTACACATCACTAGGGAAGACAGGTGAACTAATATCAGCGTACTAGAAGAAGCAAAGATCACCAGTGTTGAAGCAATGATTCTTCAACATCAACTTCGTTGGACTGGACATGTGTGGATGCCTGATGATTGTCTTCCAAAGCAACTCCTCTATTCTGAACTTAAAAATGGAAAGCGTAATGCTGGTGGTCAACAAAAGAGGTTTAAAGACTGTCTCAAGGCAAATCTTAAAAAATGTAGTATAAACACTGACAACTGGGAAACACTGGCCTGCGAGCGCTCCAGTTGGAGAACAGCCTTTACCAAAGGTGTCATGGGCTTTGAAGACACTCGAACTCAGGACGCAAGGGAGAAACGTGGTAGGAGGAAGGCACGCTTGGCAAATCCACACTGTTATCAACTCCCTCCTGGGAACCAATGTACCCACTGTGGAAGGACATGTGGGTCCAGAATTGGCCTCCACAGTCACTTACGGACTCATTGTTAAAACTGTGTTTCTGGAAGACAATCTTACTCGGCTACGAGGGATCGCCAAAGAAGAAGAAGATACATTGGTACCTTGGTTGTTGAACTTAATCTGTTCCAGGAGTCCATTCCACCCTAGGAACCGTTCGGAAACCAAGGTGCGGCTTCCAGTTGGCTGAAGGAGCTTTCTGCACTCAATCAGAAGCCATGGAAGCCATGGCAGACATTCAACTTCCAAAAAAACACTTGCAAACTGGAACACTTACTTTTGGGTTTGCAGCGTCCAGGAGCTGATTTGTTCAGGAGCTAAGCTGTTCGACAACCAAGGTATGACGGCAGTCTTGTGTTTCAGATCACAGTTGCTTATCTCTGGACAACGTGTTGATTCTGCATCCAAAGTTTCTTGGAAAAAATGAACTAGGCCCGTGTGTTAGTTCAAATGCACTTATGCCTTTTATTTTTTAAGCTACACTTTGATGTGTTTTGAAAACATTGCAACAGTTATGATGAGGCAGAAAATTGCTTTAAAAACATACTGCTTTAAAAAATATTTTTAAATCCTGAATATATCCAAGTCTTGCCCTTTAAGTATTGCTAAAATCTCTGCTTCCATATTCTGAAATCGAGCCCTCTGGGCAAGCAGAAGAGAAAAGATGTTGTCACAACTTTTTTAATTGTTTTCCTTTTACTTCAGAGATATTTTTCCTCCGTCCCCTTTAAAACAACCCCAAAAAGCACAATCATGACAGAGAAGTAATATAGCAATTTCATCGAGAACAGAGGGTTCGTCTGACAGGGCCCATTAAAAAGATTTAATGAAATTCCCAAGACTTATTTTGAAGTCAGCCTGGGAAGGTTTTTATTCTCAATCTGCACATCAGTATTAATTTAAATTTTTTTTTTAAAAAAAACCCTCCACACACCCACAGATGGAGATTTTATTGATACCCACGGAAAGAAGAACAAAGCGAGATTACTGGAAAGTCTAGATGGTAGCAGGGGTTCTATGAAGCAAAAATTTCTTGCTGAGGTAAGAATGAGATGAAAAGCAGGAGGAATTATGATTGCAAAATTGATAGGGATGCACCTGTTTTTAATGGACCAGCCACTGATGCATAAATTAAGTGGAGAATAATTCATTTATCTGGGTGCCTGGCAGTATCTCCTATGGCATCCATGAAAAGGTCGCAGAATACATCCCCTCAAAAATCTGCAACACACGTGAAACTGTCCTTCCTGCTCATCTCCTCTTTGCACTGACTCGGGCTCTCCCACATTGAACACGCCCCCTTGAACATGCCCACATTTTATTGGATGCAAGGATTGGACACGCCCTCTCTTTTGTTCCAAACAGAGGAGCAGTGCAAAGAGCTTCTGTTTAGCAAATTGGATTTGTACATGCCTCTATGTAGGGCCAAAGGATGTGGGTGGCGCTGTGGGTTAAACCACAGAGCCTAGGACTTGCCGATCAGAAGGTTGGTGGTTCGAATCCCCGAGATGGGGTGAGCTCCCGTTGCTTAGTCCCTGCTCCTGCCAACCTAGCAGTTCGAAAGCACGTCAAAGTGCAAGCAGATAAATAGGTACCGCTCCGGCGGGAAGGTAAACAGCGTTTCCGTGCGCTGCTCTGGTTCGCCAGAAATGGCTTAGTCATACTGGGCGCATGACCTGGAAGCTGTACGCCGGCTCCCTCGGCCAATAAAGCGAGATGAGCACCGCAACCCCAGAGTCGGTCACGACTGGACCTAATGGTCAGGGGTCCCTTTACCTTTACCTATGTAGGACCACCCTTGGGGTTCATTTGAAGGCTGCAACTTCTCCAGAATGTGATGGTTAGGTTCCTTTTGTGTGGGAACAAACTACCACCAGCGTATAGCACCTTGCTTGTGGGATTTGTACTGCTCAACGATTTGCTATCAGACCAAGTTCTAGATCAGAGTGGATTCAAAAAAAATGACCAAATATGCAGAATTAGAAAAGATATCAAAAAGAATAAAAAATAAATCAAAGGAAGTATTTACCACAAAATGGGAAGTCTTTAAAATTTATTTGAAAAATAGCAATGACAGTTTGAAGTCTGTAGCAGCATTTGAATAGCTTCGGTAGGAGTTTTAAATCTGATGGAAAACCTAGGATAGAATAAATAACATTAAAGCCAAAATATGCTATAATATGGCAGTGAACAATGGATGAGAAACAGAAGTAAGGAGTAGATGAGAAGTCAGCTATATAGGAAAAAGTCATTTTTATGTTATATGTATTGTGAGTAATATTCAATGTATTGGTGCTGTTGTTGTTTATTTTTATTTTCTTCTTTCTTTCTTAGTTGTTTGGAGGTGATGGATATTTGTGTATCTTTATATTTTCTTTTTGTATGTAGTATATTAAAATGAAATAAAAACTTTTTAAAAAGAAGAAGAAAAATGCTATCAGGCCAAGTTCAATATGATGGTACTAAACAGCCCCTAAACAGGCTGGAACAAGGTCTGAGAGACCACCAGTGGATCTCTATGGTCTTAGGGAGAGTCTCTCCTGCAAGTTCCAAAAACCTCAGCAGCCCAGTTTGCAGCAACTCAGAGCAGGGCTCTTAGTCTGGTTGGCCCTGTTCTGTTGATATACGACAGGTGCCCACTGCCCACACTTTCTGGGAACACTTGGAACAAATTTTTGTTATGACAGGCTTTCCCAGCTGAATAAATGGGTCATTACCACAAAACAAGTTCTTGTGCCAGTGTGGTGTAGTGGTTAAGAGCAGTAGACTCGTAATCTGGGGAACCGGGTTCACGTCTCCACTCCTCCACATGCAGCTGCTGGGTGACCTTGGGCTAGTCACGCTTCTCTGAAGTCTCTCAGCCCCACTCACCTCACAGAGTGTTTGTTGTGGGGGAGGAAGGGAAAGGAGATTGTGAGCCGCTTTGAGACTCCTTCGGGTAGTGATAAAGTGGCATATCAAATCCAAACTCTTCTTCTTCTTCTTCTTGTTTTGTTTTAAATGCATTTGTTGTTTTAAATATATTTGTTGGTCTTGCATTTTTAAGTGTCTGCAACTATTTCCCATGTCGATTGCCTTGAGATGGCGGTTTAGAAGGTGATTGATAAATTAATAGCAATAGTTCTTCTTGGGAGACAATGGAGGTAGTGACACCCTCCCTGTGGAATGCCCTCCCACCAGATGTCAAAGATATAAACAACTATCTGACTTTTAGAAGACATCTGAAGGCAGCCCTGTTTGGGGAAGTTTATAATGTTTGATATTTTATCATGTTTTTAACATTCTGTTGGAAGCTGCCCAGAGTGGCTGGGGAGGCCCGGCCAGATGGGTGGCATATAAGTTATATATATATATATATATTTACGGTCCAGAGACCCAACAAATTGATACAAAGCAATGCACAATTCAGACATCCTACCTCCAGGTTAAACAAGCATTTTGTTCAGACTTAAAGAGAGGGATCATTGGTTCTTGCAACCACTGATAAAACTTTGCCACTGCTAATGTTCTAGCATTTGTCCGGTCTTCCAATAGGAACCTGACATAGTGAGCCTCTGATTTTCCCGGAAAAGGTACCAGCAAGGGTAATGTCAGTTCAGCCCTGGCTTGCTCGTATTTCGCACAGTGCAGCAAAATATGTTTTATAGAATCCATGTCTTGAGCACATGAGCAAAGTCTGTCATGGTAGGGAACTCCTCTCAGCCTGCCATCCAACACTGCAGAAGGAAAGACGTTTAGTCTGGCTTTGGAGAATAACCTTCGATAATTTGGTGCTGTCAGGTTTTTAATGTAAGGTGTTAAGATGCCCATATTGTACTCCTACCGCCAGCGGACTACAGACTGTGTGTGATCCAGATCGCAAGTCACTGTGTGTATTATCCCATAATCTTTGCTTTAACATCTTTAAATCCAGTAATATTATATCACCACCACCACCATAATCATCATCCTAGAATAGAATCATAAAGTTGGAAGGGACTATAAGGGTCATCTAGTCCAATCCCCTGCAATGCAGGAATCTTTTGCCAACACGGGACTCGAACCCACAACCCTGAGATTAAGAGTCTCATGCTCTGCCAACTGAGCTAGCTACTTAATTTAAGAACATAGGTAAAGGTAAAGTGACCCCTGACCATTAGGTCCAGTCGTGACTGACTCTGGGGTTGCGGCGCTCATATCACTTTATTGGCCGAGGGAGCCGGCGTACAGCTTCCGGGTTATGTGGCCAGCATCACTAAGCCGCTTCTGGCGAACCAGAGCAGCGCACGGAAATGCACTTTCTCACCGGATCGGTACCTATTTATCTACTTGCACTTTGACGTGCTTTCGAACTGCTAGGTTGGCAGGAGCAGGGACCGAGCAATGGGAGCTCACCCTGTCGCGGGGATTCGAACTGCCGACCTTCTGATCAGCAAGTCCTAAGCTCTGTGGTTTAACCCACAACACCACCCACGTCCCTTAATTTAAGAACATAGGAAGGTGCTATGTACCATGTCAGACCAATGATCCCGCTAGCTCAGTATTGTCCGCACTGGCTGGCAGTGGCGTTCCAAGATTTCAGGCAGGAGCCTCTCCCAGCCCTACCTGGCGGTGTCATTGGGAATTGAACCTGGAACCTTCTGCATGCAAAGCAGATACTCAACCACTAAGCTACAACCCTTCCCATAACTAATTGCAAGAAACAGAGGGTAAAGAAAAGCTTATCCAAGTTTTCCCCCCTCTTCCACGTACATTTGCACTTTACCCCAATGCCATGTCTTGTCCTTGTCTTTCTTTCATTGACATAAGCTAGCCTAATCTGCTCCTGGGTGCATGGAACGCTACCACGGAGAATTTAATCAGAGCCCTTAAAATGTATTCTATTTGCTTACCCATCCTTTTTGTGTTTACGAACATGCTGCTGACTCTCTGTGGGAGTAGTGTCAGCCAAGGAAAGGAGAGGTCAGTCTTCCTCTTGCCTTCAATATTCTGCACAGGCAAACAAACAGATAAATAAAACATGCCACGATTTGCTTAGGGGAGGAATTGTGCTCATTGTTCTAGTGCTTTGGAATCAGAGCCCTGGGGAGGGAGGCGTTAAGTGAAAAGCACAAAATGGCATTGTCACATTCGGTGTTTCAATGCAGGTGGAAGGTGGAAAGGAATCTTGGCCGGGCCAATAATGGGAGAGACCTGCTGAATGATTCCAATGCCATTGATAGGACAGAGTTGGTCAGGTGACACCTTCCTATTGGCTGTCCCTCCTATTAGACCAGGAGTAGCCAACATGTCCATTCTGAAGGAAATCAGCCCTGAGTGCTCACTGGAAAGACAGATCGTGAAGCTGAGGCTCCAATACTTTGGCCACCTCATGAGAAGAGAAGACTCCCTGGAAAAGACCCTGATGTTGGGAAAGATGGAGGGCACAAGGAGAAGGGGACAACAGCGGACGAGATGGTTGGACAGTGTTCTCGAAGCTACCAGCATGAATTTGACCAAACTGCGGGAGGCAGTGGGAGACAGGAGTGCCTGGCGTGCTCTGGTCCATGGGATCACGAAGAGTCGGACACGACTAAACGACTAAACAACAACAAAAGCCAACATGTGGCCCTCCAGATATTGTTGGAGGCGTTATGGGGTGGCATGGCCCTGCAGAGCACCTAAATTGTGGGAGTTACACTTTAGACCAGTCTTCCTCAACCTTGGCCCTCCAGATGTTTTTGGCCTACAACTCCCATGATCCCTAGCTAGCAGGACCAGTGGTCAGGGATGATGGGAATTGTAGTCTCAAAACATCTGGAGGGCCGAGGTTGAGATAGCCTTCATGGAAGAATTCAGGAAGAACTTTCTGATAAGAAGAGCTGTTTGACAGTGTAAAAGACTCCTTCAGAAAAAGTGATGGACACTCCTTCCTTGGTGGTTTTAAAGCAGAGGTTGGGTGGTCATCTGTCAGGGATGGTTTAGCTGAGATTCCTGCATTGCAAGAGGTTGATAACCCTTGGGGTCCCTTCCAACTCTGCAATTCTATGATTCTACAAAATCCAGATCAGATGTTCACTGTGTGTACATGGTGCTTTTCATTCATTCTGCTTTTAGACTTGTCTGTTTTGGAAGACTAGCAGTGCATTCACATGCATGTCTCTTTAGAAGTAAACCCTCAGGGAATTTAGTGTATAGGACTTCAGCCTAATTATCCGTATGTGGCACTGATCTTTGCAGAGGACAATAAATGGGCATGTGTTACCTCACTGGAGTATGCAATAAAGCATTAGATCAAATCACCATTGTTTAAAATCCAGAGTTGACTGAGTCAGTTGGTGCAAACTCTACAAATCTGTCAAATCTAAAGGAAAGTTCCGAAAGGAAATGCCTGATTCACATGAAATGCCATCTCTACCCATTGTCCTGCATGAATTATGACTCTGTGAGCAGGTTATTTGTAGTTCCTTCGAAGTCTATAGATGAAACACTTCGGTTTCTTTTTATCAGCTGTCCTAAGGGACTTTTAGTCTACATAAGAAAGGAAAAGAAAGAACCCAGAGAGAACCATCCATTCTTGGCTTGGAGGAAGTTCAAAGAACATTTCCCAGAATGCTTATTGAATTCTTTTGTATTTCTTAGGTGTAAAGTCATCGACCGATGTGTAAAGATGGAAGGGACCACCAAGGGCTATCTAATCCAGTCCCCTGCCATGTTTCTGCCACTGGTCTTGCTTGCGCTCCGAGTAGCCTGGCTTAAACACAGTTCAGAGGGGAGGCATAGATGGCATACGGCTGTTGAATGGTTTCTTTAAATGTAAAGGTTCATCACTGTTCCACCCGATGTGTATGTCTTTAAGGGGCCAGAGCAAGGGCCAGAGCAAGATAACGAGACCCAGCTTTACAGCTGTGAAACATAGCAGGTGCTGCTGAGTTGTATTGATTAAGCTGTGTTGGCAATTGGGTGTAGTATATAAGGAGCAGCACCTAGCTCTCCCATTACCCTGGGGGATGGGTTGGTGGTTGGGTCTGGTTTGTTTGTTGATGTATTTAGTGTATAAGGAGTTTTTGTTTTTGTAATTAAAACCTTGTTTAAGTTATTTTTGAGTCCCTTTTTAATGCATGGTCTCCCCAGCAAGCTCTCTGCAGCGCTACCATACTGCAAATAGCCAACAACGGCTGGATCAATATCCTTACTCCAGAGGAGGCTGACAGCAGCAAAAGGCAAATGTCAGGGAGGGCAATGATGGTATGTCTCTTTCCCAGCCTCCTGGAAGTACCAACTTCATGTTATTTGCACCAGAGGCGGGGTCAGGAATTATCTCTAAATTTAAACCTCTTTGGATAATACACGGCAATTTTTTAAAGATCTGGAAAGATGCTATTACTGTCACTGACACTAGGTTCACACACACACACACACACACACCATTAGTGAAAGCTTCTTGTTCTATAATGTAATGCTTTATGCAATTTAATATGAAGCAAAGAATCAGCACCGATTTGTCCAGATGCTGTTGCTAACAGGGTCCACAACCTGCCTTTAAAGCAGATTTGAAGTACATTTCCCTCTCAAAAATTTCTGGGCATTGCAGTTATAGAATCATAGAATCATAGAGTTGGAAGAGACCACCAGGGCCATCGAGTCCAACCCCCTGCCAAGCAGGAAACACCATCAGAGCACTCCTGACATATGGTTGTCAAGCCTCTGCTTAAAGACCTCCAAAGAAGGAGACTCCACCACACTCCTTGGCAGCAAATTCCACTGTCGAACAGCTCTTACTGTCAGGAAGTTCTTCCTAATGTTTAGGTGGAATCTTCTTTCTTGTAGTTTGGATCCATTGCTCCATGTCCACTTCTCTGGAGCAGCAGAAAACAACCTTTCTCCCTCCTCTATGTGACATCCTTTTATATATTTGAACATGGCTATCATATCACCCCTTAACCTCCTCTTCTCCAGGCTAAACATGCCCAGCTCCCTTAGCCGTTCCTCATAAGGCATCATTTCCAGGCCTTTGACCATTTTGGTTGCCCTCCTCTGGATACGTTCCAGTTTGTCAGTGTCCTTCTTGAACTGTGGTTCCCAGAACTGGACACAGTACTCCAGGTGAGGTCTGACCAGAGCTCTGACCAGAACAGTGGCACTATTACTTCCCTTGATCTAGATGCTATACTCCTATTGATGCAGCCCAGAATTGCATTGGCTTTTTTAGCCATGAGTCACACTGTTGGCTCATGTCAAGTTTGTGGTCAACCAAGACTCCTAGATCCTTTTCACATGTACTGCTCTCAAGCCAGGTGTCACCCATCTTGTATTTGTGCCTCTCTTTTTTTTTTTTGCCCAAGTGCAATACTTACATTTCTCCCTGTTAAAATTCATCTTGTTTGTTTTGGCCCAGTTCTCTAATCTGTCAAGGTCGTTTTGAAGTGTGATCCTGTCCTCTGGGGTGTTAGCCACCCCTCCCAGTTTGGTGTCATCTGCAAATTGGATCAGGATGCCCTTGAGTCCATCATCCAAGTCGTTGATAAAGATGTTGAATAAGACCGGGCCCAAGACAGAACCCTGTGGCACCTCACTAGTCACTCTTCTCCAGGATGAAGAGGAACCATTGATGAGCACCCTTTGGGTTCGGTCAGTCAGCCAGTTACAAATCCACTGAGTGGTAGCATAGTCAAGACCGCATTTTACCAGCTTCTTTACAAGAATATCATGGGGCACCTTGTCAAATGCCTTGCTGAAATCAAGGTAGGCTACATCCACTGCGTTCCCTTCATCTACCAGGCTTGTAATTCTGTCAAAAACGAGATCAGGTTAGTCTGACATGACTTATTTTTCAGAAATCCATGCTGACTATTGGTGATCACAGCATTCCTTTCTAGGTGCTCACAGACTGTTTGCTTAATGATCTGCTCCAGAATCTTCCCTGGTATTGATGTCAGACTGACTGGGTGGTAATTATTTGGGTCCTCTCTTTTCCCCTTTTTGAAAATAGGGACAACATTTGCCCTCCTCCAGTCTGCCGGGACTTCGCCTGTTCTCCAGGAATTCTCAAAGATGACTGCCAGTGGTTCTGAGATCACATCTGCCAGTTCTTTTAATACTCTTGGATGCAGTTCATCTGGCCCTGGAGACTTGAATACATCTAGACTAGCGAAGTATTCTTGTACTATCTCCTTAGTTATTCTGGGCTGTGTTTCCTCTGCTGAATCATTTGCTCCAAATTCTTCAGGTCGGGCATTGTTTTCTTTATCGGAGAAGACTGAGGCAAAGAAGGCATTGAGGAGTTCAGCCCTTTCTGTGTCCCCTGTTTGCATTTCACCATCTTCTCCTCTGAGTGACCCCACTGTTTCTTTGTTCTTCCTTTTGCTATGAACATACCCATAAAAGCCTTTTTTGTTGCTTTTAACCTCTCTAGCAAGCCTGAGTTCATTCTGTGCTTTAGCTTTTCTGACTTTGTGTCTACACGTGCTGGCTATTTGTTGGAATTCCTCTTTGGTGATTTCCCCCCTTTTCCATTTTTCGTACACATCCTTTTTAAATCTTAACTCAGTTAAAGGTTCTTTAGATAGCCACCCTGGCTTCTTTAGGTACCTTCCATGTTTCCGTCTCATTGGTATTGCCTGAAGTTGTGCTTTTACTATCACCCTCTTAACAAACTCCCAGCCATCATGAACTCCCTTTCCTCTTAGTATTACTGTCCGTGGGATCTCACCCAGCACTTCCCTAAGTTTTATGAAGTCAGCTTTCTTAAAGTCAAGAAATTGAGTCCTAGTATGCTTGGCTGCTCCTTTCCGCTGTATAGTAAACTTCAGAAGAGCATGATCACTCGCGCCTAATGATCCTTCCACTTCTACCCCACTAACCAGGTCATCCACATTGGTTAGGACCAGATCTAAAATGGCTGTTCCTCTTGTTGCTTCTCCCACTTTCTGGACAATGACAGTTTACCCCTTGCAGAGTTACAGTTCCCAGAACCTTTAACAAATGATGGTGCCCAGAATTCTTTGAGGGGGAAATGTACTTTGAATGTGCTTTGAAGGTATAGCGGGTTTTCCGTCTTAGCAGAACAAGTGGTGTGATTGTTCTCATTTGCGCTGTTACAGCTAACAGGCTTTCAACAAAGGACTAGATGGTGTGAGGATCATGTTTAAATTACTGACAGGAGGCTGAAAGTGCGTACATACAC